AACATACCTAACCAGCATATGCTGGTTTTTTCAACAGGGACTGATTGTGGTATAATAACACTTGTTGGATTTGTGTTTGTCAGACGAAGTCTGAGCATTGAAACACACAACTAAGATTATTCAGTAAACTCTGCACCTTTTTATCATCATTACTTCGTCTTCTGCTTCTGCTCTTCTCTGGCTTTGCTCAGTCAACCTCTTGGCTAATAGAAGCTAAAAGAAGTTTTGGGTACCAGACAAGACTTGCTGTTAACGGGTTATGGGTATTCAACAACTCTGATGACAAGTTGTTCTGTTACCAGACAAAACTGATATTTTCTGACAGGATCTGGCGTCCGAGGCTGGATCTGATATTTCTGGCATTGAGGCATGATCTAACAGAATACATATAATACATACAAACATAAAGCCACTCATAACACTTGAACATTTCACAATCATAAATGACCAGCCGCATATTGATTTGATGTTGGTGAGATATAGAATCTGATTGTTTGATACTATTGCAGGTGTTTGTAACTGCTGCTCTACTGACAGAAGACAGAGATGCTGTCAGGCTTTAATGGATCAGATCGTATGAAGCTCTTCTTCATCTTCCTTCTTTTCTTCTTTATCTCCTACTTGTTCTTCTTCATCTCTCCTCATCTTAACCCGTCACATCCTCCTCAAGTCTATAGCTCCAGATGTCCTGTAAAATAATTAAGATCAATTCAAATGTGATGTTTAATTTTGGAAAACTGCAGAACTTTCTATAGAGTTCAGCAGGTGTAAATTATGTCTGTTCACTGATTCGTGAGCGTTTTGAATCGCAACATAGACAGCAACTCATACAAATGACCCTTGACATTTAAGACTTACTATTGATTTCATTTAAAAAATCTGTGAAATGGTTCATTATTAGACATTATTATATTAATTATATAATATATAAATTATAATAGAATTTGATCTTCTACTGATTCTTGAAAGAGATTGTTATACATTTTATTGTATAACAATAAACCAGGCGTTTTTAGACTAAAATTAACTTTAAATGTCAATATTATTCATATCAGAAGAAAAAACACTGATTCTTATGTTCTGGCACATGTATGAACTCTGCTTTATGAATTTGCAATATTTTTAATGCATTATTACTATTTACATTTTCATTATTTAATGATTTGCTTTTTTGTCCTGAATGTCTCTATTGTACTGTATTCTGTAGCTCTGCACTGTCCTGTATAAATCCATATGTCTAAGTTTTATGTTAAGTATTTAGGCTAGCTATGAGTAGGTTTATATAGGTTGTATTTTTTTTTTAGTGTTTATAGGTTACATGCTAGATATGTAGATCTATATAGGTTATATGTTTAAATACCTTTTCATGTATTTTGTGTATATGCCCATGTTTGTTCATATATGTTTACATGTGTAGCACCATGGTCCTGTGAGGTACAACATTTTTTCCTTTGTATGTCTCCACGTA